TTATTAGGGCCATGGCCTGGGGGGTGGGGGAAATGGGGAAGTTAAGGAACACAAAAATGAAGAAGATATTTTTAAATTGATTGTGGTGATTGCACAACCCTTTTTAATATGTTTAAACTATTGAATTATATGATGTGCGAATTACCGTATATATTCGAGTGTAAGCCAACCCGAATATCAGCCGAGGCACCTAATTTTACCACAAAAAATGTGCTGAAAAACTCAGCTTATACACGAGTATAGACGGTATATGTCAATAAAACTTTTAAAAAGATATTAAAATCAAGGGGGGAAAGGATCTAATAATTACTAATCATGTAATTCAATGCACGATTTTACAAAACAATTTTAGTAGTCATATAATCTAAGCAATTTTCAAACATAACACATATTATCCTATGATTAAAATTGATAAACATTAAGTGTTCCATCCGAGGTATGGGGGGTTACTTGGGGTTGAAACCAACCCTTGTTCTGCCATTGGCCTGAAGATGGAACTGAGAATTTCAGTTATGTATGTCAATAAATTCCTCTTTCTGATTAAACTCATTTCTGTCGCAACCAAGCCATGTCTAAATGAGGGGGTGGGTGGCAAATTACTCCCCTTTTGGACAGCCATAGTGAATCCTGGTTTTCTCCCAGCAAGCCCCACCACCACCACAATTCTCTGTTCACATAATCCAATTGATCTTTGTCTGTTATCTTGTACCCTGTCGCTTTGCCAAATTCCACTATTTTTCTTGCTGAGTCTTTGGGACTTTTAATGGATAGGATCATATTATCAGCAAGTGATGACAGTTTTACTATTTCTTTGCCAATTTGGTTGTCTTTTCTCTCTTTTCTTTTTGCCTTATACCTCTGGCTAAGCCTTCCAGCACACTATGAAACAAGGGCATCCTTGTCTGATTTCTGTTCACAAGGGGAATACTTCTAGTCTCCATCCATTGTCCATTGGCTTGGTATATAGACTCTTACTTACGCTGAGGAATTTCCATTCCGTTCATTATTTCTTTTAATTAAAAAAATCATTTTATTAGGGGCTCATACAACTCTTTTCACAATCTGTACATACATCATTTGTGTCCAGCATATTCGTACATATGTTGCCATCATCATTCTCAAAACACCTGCTTTCTACTTGAGCCCTTGGTATCAGCTCATTTTTCCCCTCCCTCCCGCTCCCCCCTCTCCCTGAACCCTTGATAATTTATAAATTATTATTTTATCATATCTTACACCATCTGACGTCTCCCTCACCCACTTCTCCGCTGTCTGTCCCCCAGGGAGGAGGCCACATGTAGACCTTGTCCTCTGTTCCCCCTTTCTCCCTCTCCTTCCCTCCACCCTCCCGATATCGCCACTCTCACCACTGGTCCTGAGGGGTTCATCTGTCCTGGATTCCCTGTATTTCCAGTTCCTATCTGTGCCAGTGTACATCCTCCAGTCCAGCCGGATATGTAAGGTAGAATTGGGATCATGATAGTGCGGGCAGGAAGCATTTAAGAACTAGAGGAAAATTGTGTATTTCATCGTTGCTACACTGCACTCTGACTGGCTTGTCTCCTCCCTGCAGCCCTTCTGCAAGTGGATGACCAATCTATTCACTATTTTGTTGAGCATTTTTTATCAGGTATGGGTGTTAGGTCTTATTAAATGCCTTTTCTGTGTTGATTGATAAGATCATATGGTTCATTTTGTTTTATGTATGTGCTGGATTATGTTGATTTTATTTTAGTGTTGAACCATCCTTGCATCCCTGGGATGAATCGCACTTAGTCATGATGGGGTTTTTTGGGTTTTTTTGATACATTGTTGGATTCTATTGGACTAGGATTCGGTTGACCTATTTTTGCATTCATGTTCATAAGGGATGTGGGTCTACAATTTTCTTTTTCAGCTATATACTTGCCTGGTTTTGATATCAAGATTACGATTGCTTCATGAAGCAAATTTTGGAATATCCTATCCTTTTTTACATTCTGGGATAGTCTGAATAGAATTGGTGTCACCTCCTTTCTGAGTGTCTGGCATAATTCACCAGTGAACTTGTATGGGCCAAGACTTTGTTGTTGTTTGGGAGAGTTTTTCAATGACCTGATTAATTACTACCACAGTTAATTTAGGTATATAATATTCTTCTAGAAACGTGTCAACTTCTAGTTCTCAAATTTGTTGAGGGTACAGTTCCTAGTATTGCTGTTAATCCAAACCCAGGGCCTTTGAATCAATTCCAATAGGACCGAGTAGAACGGTTCGTTAGGGCTTTTGAGCAGGTAAATCTTTGTGGGAACAGACAGCTCCATTTTTCTCCAAAAGAGTGACTAGCGGGCTTGAACCAACAACCTTGTGATCAGCACCTTAGTGCTTAAACCACTACCCCATCAGAGCTCCTTTGTTATCCCTCTTGCTTTAGTTGGTTCTGGTCATAGTATCTACATCTTCTCCTTTTTCTTTGTTAGATTTGCCAGTCCTATGTTGATTTATTCATCTGTTCAAAGAACCAGCTTCTAGTAGTTTATTTGTCCTCAATTTTTTTTCTTTACTTCGGTGACTTTTGATTGATTTTGCTGCTTTTTCTAATTGTTGGAGCTGTTCGTTTAAGGGCTTGATATTAGTTCATTGTTTTTTGAGGCGTGCATTTTATTGCTATGAATTACACCGAATGCTGTTTTTGCTGATTCTCAATGGTTTTGGTACACCGTTTCATTCTCATGTGATTCAAGGACATTACTTTTTTAAAATTCTATTACTCAGTAGTTTTTAAGTTGGGTGTGATTCAGTTTCCATGTATTCGATTCTTTTTCCTCCCTTGATCTTCTTGTTTTCGAATTCTAATTGTACAGTGTTGTGATCCGAGAAGATGCTTGGTCGTTTTCCATGTTTTTCACGTAGAGAAGCTTGTTTCGTGGCCCAACATATGGTCTATTCTAGTGACTGTTCCGTGTGCACTGGGGAGGAATGTAATGTGTGTGCTGTGGTTTGGTGGAGTGGACTGTATATGTCTATGAGGTCAAGGTCAGAGGAGTGCTGCTGCTGCTGAACTTAACCTGGCGTTTCCCAAAGTTGTCTCTGCACAGGAATCTCCCCTTTGTTGCTTTGTTCTGACTCACAGTGATGCATGTACTGACTCCTACAACACAATGAAGCACTGCCTGGTCCCATGCCCTCATTACGATTGTGATGTTTGAGCCCTTCGTTGCAGCCACTGTGCCAATCCATCTTGTTGAGGGTCTACCTCTGCTTCACTGCCCCCTTACTGCACCCCTTAAGAATAACTTCACAAGTCCCCTTTAGGAACAACTATTAGTGAGTGTATTGAGGAAATACGCCCCTTGGTGAGGACTAACTAGAAATCTTGAGGTCCCTCCTGGAGACTGCTGGCTTGTTGGATCAGGGCTGCATGGGCTTGCTCTCGCTCTCTGTAGCTGACCTGCTGCGGGCCCGGCTGCTGCCCCAGAGCCTCCCATCCTACAGGCTCCATATGAGGGCTCCGATGCGGAGAATCCTGTCATCTGGGAACCAGGATATGAGCTTCTTGAAAGTAGGGCTCGAGCAGTTTCTTCCTTGAACACCAGGGGACTCATGGAAGGCTCGCTAGAAGCTGGCAGCACGCATGCGTGTCAGGGCATCCAGGTGACCTCCTGTGCACAGAGCAGAATAAGCCTAGGCCTTTTCTGGCACCCAAACTGCCCAGTGTGGGGCAGAGTGCAGGGGAGTTCAGGATCCCTGCTCTATAGTCACAGGGATTCCAAGACTTAGACTTACACAGTGTGCAACCTCTGTCTCCCTCATTTGGCCAGAAGCAGATGGAGCCTCCGGAGCTCCCTGGTGTCCAAGGAGACAACTGGCTGCAGGGAGCTGGCAGCTGCCGCTTCTGGCCTGGGTTGGTGATCCCAATAGACCCACCCCAGCTCTGGGCCCACCTGCCTCTTGCACCTGGCAGGGTCCTCATCCTGCAGTACCATCTTAAAAGGGCACGTGTTCAGGCCAGGCATAACCGTGTTGTTACCCTTCTGTGGCCGGACGGGGCGCCTGAGATCTGGGTCTAAGCTACACATTTCCATCCTCCAGGGCTGTTTGTCCACCTGAGCAGTGGCTCTGCCTGGCTTCCGTAAACCCAGGGAGGTGAGGGCGCCACCCCTTGAGCTGTTCTGAGAAGCTCCCACAACCCACCGCTCAATGACCCTCTACACCTCTAGGCTCTGAGAGGCCCCTTTCAAAGTCAGGACAAGCGGAGCACAGCCTTTTCAAAGGAGCAGAGGGGCTGTGGGGCATGGGCCAAAAATGAAGGTGACTATGAGAGGGAGCGGTTTCCTTTTGGTGCGGTGAAAATGTTCTCAAATGCTGGGATGTCTGCACATCAACAGACACTGACTGCTATGTAAACCCCAAACGCCATCACCGCCAGCGAGTCGACAGGACAGGTGAGCACTGCCCCTGCGGGTTTCTGAGAGGGGAACTCTCTGCAGGCGTGGAAAGCTCCGTCTTTCTCCGGTGGAGCAGCAGCTGTTTTAGAACTGCTGACCTTGCAGCTAGCAACCCGGCGCGCAGCCACCACGCGACGACATCGGGGCTCCTCTGGGGGTATACATGTGTGTGAAGTCTCTCTCAAAACTACTTTGCCAAGAAGTACTTCTCAAACTCACACTCTGCAGGGTCAGATGCCCAGACCTCTGGGGAAACCTAGCGGAAAAGGGCGAGCAGGGCTCACACCCGTTTGCTTAAGGGTCTTGGGTGCGTGCTTCCCGCTCCCCTCCCCTCCAGAGGAGCCACAGATGAGCCCCTGTTCTCAGGCACCCAGCCACCACAGCCAATGGCCCAGGCAGGGCCAGCGCTGGCCCAGGTAGCCCTGGCGGGCCAGGGTCTCTCCACCAGCTTGGGAGGGGGGCGGGAGCAGCTTCTCAAACAGCCGGGCTGAAAGGAGACAGGGAGTCAACTCTGGCAGGTCCACCAACCGGTCAGTCACACTCTGCAGTCACCACACAGGTGGGTCCACAGGCCAGTGTATGCCTTGTCTTTATTGCGGGGTATTTTACATGCAAGAACCCAAACTAGAGAGATGGCACCGGAAAGGGGCCAATGGGCGGCTGGCTCCTCCACAGACATGTATGACAGGGACAGGACATCCAGGCTCCAGGGGCCTCGGGATGATGAGCTCCACACGTGCCTCTCCCCAGCAGCCCCTCGGGTCCCGAGAAGCCTCATGCGGTTCAGTGCAGTCGCTGGGGGGGTCACAGCTGCCCCCTCTCCAGTACGCCTGGAGCCAGACCCACCACGACAGCACTGGTGGCTGTCTCTAGGGTCGTGGGGACCAGGGACTCTGGATGGCCATAGCCCACCCTGATGCACCCTGAGCAGAAGAAGGGGCCGTGGGAGTGAGGGGGAGTACAGTGGGGAGCAGCGTGTGGTCTGCTGTGGGGGTCCAAGGTCACCCAGAGCCCTCACCACCATTCTCCCAGCCAAGCCTGGAGGCGGCACCAGAGGGGGATAGGGCCCCAGCCCTGCCCTGCCTGGCATTGGACCTGGGGTGGGGTGGGGGTGGGGATGGGCAGATAGTACTGGCTAGTCTCTCCTCAGAGAGCAGGGGTGTTTGCACTGAAGGCTGGCTGACACAGACAGTCGGATGCTCATTTTCCCTCTGACCCAGGCCAGCAGCAAGCCCTTGTGCTGGCATGCCATTCCGTCTGCCTGCCAGTCCCCAGCATGCCAGGTGGGGCCCACCGGCCCGTCGGACTGTGCTTGCCCACTGGCCGGAAAGGCAGGCCAGAAGAGAGGGTTAGTGTTCACATCTCGGCACACAGGAACACAGAACAGGTTAAACACATCCCCAAGAAAATATTTTGACAAAATAAATATTTTAACCTATAATCAGGTATAATTAGTGCTTATGGAGGATCCCAGCAATAATTTAGTGTAATTAAGTACATACTGTATCTGTGATTTCTAACACTTGTGGAAACTGGGGTTTAGGAGGGTCCGGATTTCCTGCAAGGGTGCTGCCCCTCCCATACCTGGGGTCTATGCTGCCAGACTTGGGGCAGCCCCATGCCCAAGGTGCCGCGTCTCAGGGAACCCCAGAAAGGTACACAGGCTGCCCGGCTCCTCCTCAAGGCACTGGGCCCTGTGAGGGCTTCCGGCCATAAGTAGTCCCCCCAGGCTGCCTCAAGGCAGCTGCCTCTGACCTGGGCATTCGAGCAGAAGTGGGCCACTTCTCTGCTTGGGTCAGTGGCTTCCTGCCATCCCGCTGTGGCCCCCGGGGGCGGAGTCTCCCTGGGCAAGTGTTCCCCTCCCTCTTCCTCTCGGCCCGGCCCAGGGAGTCTCCTAATGTGGTGTGCAGTTTGGAGCAGCCACAGTGACCGTGGAGGGAGCAGGAAAGGGGTAGCGCCCAAGCTCTGCAGAGACTCAAGACAGCTCAGGGCTGGGCACACGGGCCACCTGAGCACTCTCTGCAGTAGGCATCAAGCCAGCTCACCAGCGTCCCACCCACGAAGCAGAGCCCTGGAGGAAGTCAGTGCGGGCCAGGGTGGAAAGGGCAGGGCCCCATGATGAGAATGAGGATGGAGTGTCCGGGCAGTGTGGGGGCTGCGGTACTACCAGATGGCCCCTCCAGAGGAGGCTGGAGTAGTGCCAGGGTGGGCATGGGTGCTGAACCGCTCAGCAGCCTGCGCCCAAGGGCTTTCAGCACCCCTCAGCTCTGGTCCATCCTGAGTGCTCCGAGCCCCAGCTCTTCCTCTGCCTGGGCTGGTGCACTATGGGTGGTGGGGGAAGGGGTGGGCTGACACTGCCATGGGTCAGGGCACAGGGTGGCCTGGGCTGCTTGATAAGGGGACAGCAGCATTAGGGGGCGGGGGGGTGTTCTCAGGCTAGACCAGGGCTGACGGCCGCGTCCTTCAGCAAGAGCCAGGAGGGCAGGGGACAGGGGGTGACAGCAGGGTGTTGCCTGCTTGACCTGGGCTCTGCTGCCTCCCAAGCCAGCAGGGAGACTTGGAGTGGGAGGGGTTCGGGAGCAGGGCAAGGCCGCAGTGCCATTCTGGCAGCAGGTGGACACAGGCTGCCCCAGGCTGGGCACACAACAGTGCCGGAAGCCTTCCCAAACAAATCCCTCCGGAGAGGGACCCCTGCGTGATGCTGTGAGGGTACAGGCTGCGTCTGGCTAGTAGTGTTTCGAATGATCTCTGCAGGCACTAGGCAGCGTGCTGCATGGCCATGCCCAGGGGATGGGGCGGCCCTGGTAGCCCCCTTGAACCGCTCCCATGCCAGGAGCCTGCAGGAGTCAACTCGGGCAGGGCCTAAAGCCTGAGCAAGCAGCTCAGCGACAGAGATGTGGTCCAGAAGGTGAGAGGTCCCTTGCGGGGACCCCCACAGAACCTTCTAAAGTGCTGGCACACCAGGTGCTGCGAGTGACATCTGTCAGGGAACAGCAGCTGGAGCAGGGAGCCCGGACTGGGCATGCCCGCAGGCCTGGCTCCCCCAGAGCAGCAGCTCATAGCTGGACACAGTGGGGGAGCCAGAGCCTCCTCTAGACACAGCGCCCAAAGGCTGCCCATCTGGAGCGGCCTTGAGGGAGTGTGGTGAGCCAAGGGGCTGCCCCCTCCCCACGCTGCCCCCCACCCCAAATGAAGATGGTGCAAGTTGGTCCTGATGAGTGGGGATCTGGGAGCAAACACAGTGGCGTTTCCATGGAGACACAGGAGTGGGCCTGGGAGGAGGGGCCGGTGCCTGGACGTGACCGGACACTGGCTGCCGGGGTCTCTGGAGAGGCACACCCTAACAGCAGCTCACAGGGCGAAGAGGGCGTCCTCAGACCGCTCAGGCTTCTTCCGGCCCGAAGGGGCCGAGGCTGGGGCGGGGGCCTCCGCCGGAGGGGAGGGGAGGTTAGGGACCATCTCAGCAGCTTTGGCTCGCTCTTCGAGGAACTTATCAAATTCTGCAAACAAAACCAGCGAAGGCAGGAGCAGTCAGAGGCTCGCCCTAAGTCTGAACCACCTCCCCCACTCCTCTGCGCTCCTGGTCTCTCCGGGGTTTCCTTGCAGGACCCAACCCATCTCCTGGCTCCCGCTGGCACCACACTACCCTTGGCCCCTAGGAGCCCCTCACTGCTTGCCACCAGGGAAAGAAGCCAGGCTGGAGAGAGCTGCCTGTGAAAGCCAGAAGGCAGTGGCACCTTGGCAGCTCTCCACTTCCTCTGGGGTGTGAGCAAGTGGGCCTCGGGCATGGGCATCCGTGGTCTAAGGCAAAAGAGGGCAAGCAAGTCCCCCTGAATCACAGGGGGCTCCCCACACAGTTCCCCAGGGACAGGCCCTATCCCAGACCCACCCACTGATGTGCAGGCTCTTCATTTTCCCATCAGCCTTGGGAAGGAGCGGGGCAGGGGCGGGCTGGGGTTCCTGCTCCCATACCACCACCAGCCCCCACCAAAGGGAGCAGCTGAGGAAGCAGGAGGGGAGGAAGAGACATGACCCCCTCTCCCAGGTGGACCGCCAGAGGGCTGCAGTTCTCTCTGAGCCCCGTGGGGGAGCTGGTGATGACGACAGAGGTCAGAGGGCAGGAAGGAACAGGCTGCACATGGGGGCGAAGAGGGTGGAATGAGGGCGAGATGGAGACAGGGGCTGTGGTAAAGAAGGGGCCTTCAGCTGGACTCCGGAAGCCAGGCTCCCCGGTGGGGCCTTCCCAGAATCTCCCCTCCTGCTGACCTAGCCTCCTGGCCATCGCCTGTGCAGACGACTCTGAGCACTCAAAGGAGGCCGTGCTGACAGGGGGCATGGATGGCAGTCTGTGTCCACGACTCCTCAGACCCGAGGTCGTTGAAAACACTCACACGTCCCTTCGGATCTCACTTCCCAGTAAGCAAGATGGGAGAAGTGACCCCTCCCTCACTGGAAACAGGGCTGGGTGGCCCCTAGCCGTGACACCCGCTGGGCACAGGGCCAGGCACACTGGGGGGTGGGGAAACGGGGGAGGGAGGTCATACCTTCACTCGTGACCCCTTCCTCCGGGTCGTCACCTTTCTGTGAGCGAAGCAGAGACAGGAGCATTAGGCCCCAGAGCCGCCCCACCCCAGAGCCCACTGCCCACTGTCCCAGCTCCCAGAGTCCCAACAGCACAGTGGCATTTTTCCTACTGGAGGGAAAGAAACTCCACACTCAGACTGGCTCATGTGCCCCAGCCTTCCTCAGGAAGGGCTGAGAAGGAAAACCTCGCTAAGGAGCGGCTAGTTAATGGGCCGAGGCGGAGGGCACCAAGGGCACCTTCTTGGGCTGTCAGAACCTCGGTGCTTCTGCAGGAAGGGGCAAGGGTAGCTGCAGGAGGATCCAGCTGCAGCGTGGCCATGCCCACGTGGCCCTGCACCTCAGGATCTGAGGCATCTCCCTTTACACTGCAGCTGGAAAGGGCTCCAGTGGAGACCCGGCCAGCCACCAGAGCTCCTGGGGCACGTCAGACTGCTCGCGCGCGCGTGCAGCAGGGCAGGGTAGTCTGGGGGAATGGGCTGCCTGGGGGCCTCTCTACGGGCAGGGCTGGCAGACACAGCCAGGGATGGGGTGAGGACTTGACTTTCACAGCCTGCTGGGTGGCCTTACGGGGCAGGGCCTTTCTCTGTTCTGGGCCTTGGTGTCCTAGTCGGTGAGGGGCTTGGTCTTCCTGCTGGGCCTCTGTCTGTGACTGGAGCTATTTCTTTTTAGGACATCCCTTTGGGAAAGATACATGAGGGGGCTTCAAAAAGTCCCCAGAAAAGTGCCATGATCTTTTCACTCCATTTCCCCCAAACTCTCTGAAGCCCCCTTGACATGGGACATATTCCTCTCCTGGCACTTGGGGTGCTGCCTCGCCCTGCAGTGGGAAAGTCTGACCTCTCCGGGAGGAGACCCAGAGCAGCCAGTGGCCCTGGCCAAAGGCCTACTGTCCCCGGAGGGACATGGGCGGGGCAGGCCGGTAGACCACAACCGGCCAGGCTGACCTTGCGGTTCAGATTCCGGGCCATGTGTTCTCTGAGGGAGGCCACTGGGAGATTCCAGATCTGGGGAGAATCTGGGCAGCTTGGGACCAGGCAGCATCTCTCTGAGCAGCTCCCAGACTGACTGCCAGGAGCGGGGGGGATGAGGGGGTGCTTTGATGGATAAGGCAGGCGCCACCCACAGTGGCTTTCGCTCTCAGCGGTGACAGCTGGGCGGCACCCTCCCCTCCAGCCCTCTCTTGGGACGGAGGAGTCCTCATTGGGACACGGCTTCCTCTCAGCCAAAGAAGCCAGACGTTTCAGGGGGTAGGGAGGGGAACTCAAAAATCAAACCAGCCTCCTGCCTCATTTGCGAGCAAACGTGACAGTAAAATAAAACCACGCAAGAACAGCCCAAGCACATGCTGGAGGCTGGCAAGGAGCCGGGGAAAGGCAGCGTGTTTTCCATCCTGCTCGGCAGACGCCAGGCCCAGCTCTGCTCCGACTAGCTGCACACCCCGCCGCTGAGCTGGGAGGCCTGAGTG